AACATCTGCGCCATGCAAGGCGCCAGAAGAGAAAAAATGACGTAATCTTACAGTTAATAGTCTAATGACTTAACACGGAGATGATGTGAAGGGCATTAGTAGCCATCTGCCAGTTCTGACTTATTTGGGTGGTTACTGTTGTCATGCAGTTTTAAAGAAAGTGAAATGCTGTACCTGCAAACAAAACATTACAATAAATTCCACAGTTAATCATGATCAAACGTATGATCTTATAAAGAATCTTGATCGTGGTGGACTCAGGTGGCCAAAACCATTTATTGTAAATATAATTATGTATAATTATTTAATTGTAAATAAGCTGTGTAGTGAAGAATATGAAGATTTTTTGTTGGAACAAAATCAGAGGAAAATTGTTGCAAATTTGACTTTTAAAATTTTAGAATTAAAAGAAATGCTCTTTGATGATATTATTTGTGATAATGGTCATACAAGTGAAAGTATAAGCAAACTGATAATTTGGATATCAACAAATATCATGCTCAAGAATCTTTGCAATAGGAAAAATGACGATATTAAGTCCAATAAAGAAAAAAAAAAGAAAAACTTCAGACACTTGCAAAGTAACATTGATGCTGTCTTTAAAAGTAATTTTTAAAGTTCTCTCAAACTGCATCTTTGCTAAATATCTACGTGTCATCTTTGGTGAGCAGCTGAGATTTAAGAAGCATGTTTGTTATACATTTAAATTGCTTTATGCCAAAATTTATTTTGGACTTGTATATATTATTCTTTGCTTATTTAACCAAGTTTTTAATATTACTCAAGATTTTATATAATTTTTTAATTTGCTTTATACTAAGTTACTTCTCAAGGTCCTGAAATTTCTATATTGTATTTACAAGCGCCTTTGCTAAATATCTACGTGTCATCGTTGCTGAGCAGCTGAGATTTAAGAAGCATATTTATTATACATTTAAATGCTAAATATCATAATTTATTCTGGACTTGTAGATATTATTCTTTGCTTATTTAGTTATTTAACCAAGTTTTTGGTATTACTGAAGATTTTATATTATTTAAAATTTTCTTTATACTCAGTTACTTCTCAAGTTCCCAAAGTTTCTATTTTGTATTTCAATTGTGTTTTCTTAAAATGTTCATCATTATTTAAGATTTTGTATCCTGCAATTACATGGCATAGTGTAGTAGTGTAGAAAGAACATATTACATGGCATAGTGTAGTAGTGTAGAAAAAAGACAAATTCCATAATGTCTTCTTTCTGCACAATCTAACTCTAATATTTCTATTTATGCAATAATTGTATGGACTCTTTCTGGATAGTACTACATGTTCAGCTCAAGTAATATTTGCTCTTCACATTATTCACAGTGAATAAGCACAAATCAATCTACTAATATACCCGTGTGGTGAACCGGGTGTGAAAGAATAGTCCCAATGTAGCTCATACATGTCGTAAAAGGCGACTAAAATGGGTACCCAGCGTCTGGGGGTATAGCCGGGCACCCCTGCCCCTGGGGATTATATCAGGGAACTGGTCCTCCAGGTTGGGGGTTGGGTGTGGGGCTAACTACCCCACCCCATAAAAAATCTCACTGTTAAGAAATCCAAAGATAGAATTAGCCGGACTGCTTCTACTTGGAAATGGCCTAGGGACTTTTCGAACTTTGCAAAACATGAAAAATTTGAAATAATTAAAAAAAGAATGATGAAGTGTGACTGCAAGGGACGTCCGGTATCCTTTTCTGTCATTGCACTTTTCCTGACATGATAAGGCTCTACCACGTACACTTTGGTAACGAGGCTTGGAAACCTCGGCTAACACCTTGTTGTTTATTAAAAGAAAAAGAGACATACAGCAATAATTATATTTCATAATAATAATTTTGACCCAAGCTCTATAAATATATTATGATATTAATTTATAAGTCTTTACAAAGTTACATACATAGGTCTTTATAACATTTCACCTGTATAATAGTTATATGATATGATTTTAAAGACTAAAAAATAAATTTGTTCTGTTTTTTTTCTTTCTTTGTTTCAGGTATTCATAATGAAGAAAGGAGTGTTTTTATCATGAAATGGCTCTCAGGTGTAAAAATGCATAGGATATATCTTAGTTTATTGAAGTTAAGAATTGGTGCTTTGTGGACTAAAAAATATGTGCAATATCCATTGTCACACCACCACTCTGTTCAAGAATATCGATCAGTCCTGAATGATAAAGAAAATGATTAACAAAGGAATATCTAGAACTTGATTGTGTGCATGATTTAATTCCAAATATAAGTATTGGAATAATTCATCCTCCTTATTTTCAACAAAAACTCTTCATTTGGTAATATACATTTGTGCTTATCAGTGTGGTGTCTTGTGTAACAAATCGTCAGTATTATAAAATAGATGGAAAGATCTTTGATTATTGCAAGAGCTTTATGTGCTGAAGAAGTAAAAAAATGTCCCAGATAATTGTGGATATTATGAAACTGAGTATCATAAGAATGGAAAAATATTTCTTAAACAAATTACCTTGTGATGCATGTAATGGGTATGTTTATTTTATTTCATATAACTGTAAATTTAATTATTGATAATAAGCAAACTTTTTTTTTTTCCCCTAAAATGCCATTGGTGTATTGTCATTATTCTATATTGACATGTATTCTCTTACATTTATCATTGAAACCAGAGATTTTATAATAGAATAGAATATGGGAAACTTGTGTTGAAGGCCTGTTGATTGAAATACAAGTGACCATTACGTCTTTGGAATTTGCATTCTCATTGCCAATTTTGAAAAGACATTCTTTTACATTTTCTTAAAAAAGTTAACATTCTAATGACTTTAGAAGTAAACATTGGCGACTTCATATGAACCAGTCTCTTGGCGAGTTTAGCAAAAAATTTGCCGATGGCTTCCCCATAACAGAACTGTACTGGATTCTATACCTGAATATTGCATTAAAAGGAGAGAAAAACCATTTATTATGAAGATAATAAATGATTCATATTACGAATGTTCATTTCTTATAATGATCGAGTTTTATATTCTTGCATTGTATTTCTTTTGTGTCAACACAGAATAAATTGTGTCGGATTTCAGTTATAATGATATGTGTAAAGATGCTGTAATAAAATTTGTTATAAATGTACTGTTGTGTATTTTTTCTTTAGCAGTTGAATTTATGAAAATTTGTATTATTTTCTAACAAATAAAATTTTATATTTTATAATATAAATCCATCTATGGACATTACAACAGATATTATATTTTGGAAAATAATTTATTATGCCTTTTCAAAACTAAGTTTAAAATGAAAACAAACTTGAATGCATAATAATTTTTAATGAATAAATAAAATGTGAAAATATGAAAAGTGTTCTGACATGTCACATTAAGACTGCAATCAAATAAAGAATTCTTTATACGTGCATTGGTTTTTGTTTACAATTTGCATAGTCTTGAATATTTTACTGATCTAAATTCATTTTAAAAAATTTGTTGTCATGATGAGTAGTGATTTTAGGTAAAAGTTTACAATTGGGTGTCCCTTGTATTTTGGCGATTCTTTTTTGACACCAAGATTGGCGTCAGGAAGGCACAATTTCAAGATGGCCGCTATACAAAACCAAAATAAGAAGTCAAAGAATCGCACAAGCCCACCAGTGGGCAAGCGGTAAAAGCCGCTGAACACTGGTAGTTCGGTCCAGGGTTCGAATCCCGGCAAATGGGCTGGCTGCATGGGCGTTTTCGTGGCTTTCCCCATGTGTAACTGGGATATGAGCCAGTTTACCTTAAAAAGACCTCGGTTTAATCCTAGTATCCGGTGCACACGGGATTTGGCTACTTTATGATGAGCAGTAAAAGCGGGACATATATGATGAGTAGTAAACGCGTCATTCAAAGAATATATATAGTTATACATAGCATATACTATGTATATAGTGTATAGTATATACATAGACGTTCTTTGGGTCATTTTTGGTGTTGACGATAAGTTTCAAAATCGCACCAAGGCTGCACCGTATACTAGGATTTTAAAAGTTTAATCCTAGTATTTGGTGCACAAGGGATTTGGCTACTTTTGCCCACTTTATGATGAGCAGTAAACGGGACATATACGATGAGTAGTTAAACAGGTCATTTTGATGTTGGCGATAATTTTCAAAATTGCACCAAGGCTGCACCGTATACTAAGATTTTAGCAAGACCTCCATGGGGCATTCCTCCTTTTCCTGTAGTGCCTAAAGGCGGAGCATGTAATAAGTAAAAGGAAAAAAAAAGAATTGCACGAACTCTGTGTCCATGTACACATCGATATGTTTTCACTTAAAAAAGCATCCTAGAATTGCACAAACTAGGCATTGCACACTGCCTTAAATTTGTCCATGTACACATCAATCTATTTTCATTTAAATAAGGAAGCTAAAACAAAGTTAAAACTATCATGGTAACCTGAAGCGAGGTTTCATTGCCAAAATAAAAAAATTAAAAAAAAAAATGTCACTAATCAAAGGGGCACCCAATTCTACACTAGAGCCTAATTTTATTTTCTTAATATATATATATAATGTTTAAAAACTGATATCATTTTTACTTTAAACAATATTCCCAAAAATATATGCTCTCTTGTGTGAAATGTTTACTTTATAATCTGTGCAAAATATTACCATAAATAAAAAAACTTAATTATTTCTTAAATATAAAGTAATTAGATACTTTCATTATCCCTATGATTATAAGAATTATAACTGAAAGGGCATAAACAAAAACACAATTAAAGGAAATGCAGTACTGAAAGTTTCTGGTTAGCGAAAAATTTGCAACAGAGCAAGCCATTACAATAGTATAAGAATTGATTAGTAAGGTAAACATTAGTTGAGCATTCTTTCACAGTAGCAATAAATTTTTCATTTATAATTAATTCTTAAAACACGCCAAAACAGATTCACGATTGGTGCCTCTGATTTAAGGTCACACAAAAGTAAATTTGATTTAGCAGACCAAGAGATATTCCATGTCAAATTTACGAGAAAGATCTTCACCAATGTTAAGCTTATTATCTAATATTCATAACAGTTTGGTTAGTTGACTATCACAAAGCTCAAAAGTGCTATCTGCTCATGGTGAAGGACTTTCTAATGAGAACTGGCTTGTATTCACATTATACGTAAAAAAAAACTTAAAAATAAAAAATAAAAAAAAAAAAACCATGCAGACAGCATGTTCAGAAAAAGAACAGAAAATGTACTCTTAGCATTCAGTAACCTTAACCATTCAGCTACTCGTGGGTATAAACTATTGTTCTAAGAGATAAGCAACAATTTTTCAGCAATAACTAATGTACTTTTTCACAGACAGAACTGAACAGTAAAAAACTTCTTAAACTGTCGATTCAGATTCTAATTTAGTTTCTTCCTTTTAAAAGCAGGAGCTTCAAAACTTTCCTCATGCTGCTTTTTATTTTGAATAAGCTTCTTGAAAAAAAAAAAAAAAAAAAAAAATTCCACGTGCAGTCAAACATTTTATGATCTTTGTTTTGATATTGTAACAGGAGGGAATATTTACCTCATCTGATTTTTGCATATTTATAAATTCTTCATCCATAGTTATATTTCCACATATTATTTTGTCTTGAAAATTTTGAATTATTTTTTCACATAGAAAGCATAATTTAAAAATTTCAGGAGGACTTTTAAATCCCCCCTAAATTTGCAAAATTAATTAATTAATACTGCTAATTAAAACATATTTCCTGTTCACACATTGAAAATAAATTTAAAGTAACTATAGTTAGAAATACAACATGAAGGTTTACTATAACATAAAAGCATGATAATAGGATCAAAATGATGCATAGAATATTTAAATTAATACTTCTTCAAAATGCCTAGACAAATACACAATTTATTTATCTTAATATAACGAAAAACCTAAATAATTTATAATTTAGATCATAACTATGTATCCAATTTTTAACAAAGGTGCAAACCAATAGGTTTGGTGACAATACATCAAAATATAGCATGCGACTTTAAATTACCAATCGTAGAGTAAAATTGAAACACGAAAAGTCATATCACATTTCTAACCAAGCACAAAATTTACATGAAATGTAGTGTACAATTTTACAAACGATAATAAAAGAAACATCACAAACAGTATCGGCTATAATTTACTGCACAAACACACACACATTCCGCAGTTTATTTTGTATTTATAAAATCATTTGATCATTAATAAATGATAGTTAAACGAAAATGCACGTTTTAAAGAAATACGAAGACAGAGTCGTAGCTAGGGTTTCCAGCGCCCAGGGACAACTGAAGATTTCGCGCCCCCTACTGCTTGCCAAGGATGGAAAATATTTAATTCTAAAATGTCGTAACATCAGTTTGGCGCCCCTTGTATTCTGCGCCCGGGGACAGATGCCCCCCTTTGCCCCCCTCTAGCTACGCCCCTGTACGAAGAGTAATTTATTCTAACATTCTATGAGAAAATTCGAAGCTGAACTTACCTCAAAAACATGCTTTTCAGACCGGAATCCATTGATTTTGACGAGAATTAATTATCCATTTTCTTCGTCTTTCTTCATTTTTGGCGAAACGTTCTAAACTTATTTTTTGAATGATTGGAACAATTTGATGCAACACATCCACCCATATTTGTCAAAATTAAATCGGAATCGACCAACAAATATGTCAACAAAAGGACACTGTAAAATAGCGATAGAAACAAGCACGCTTCGTTCGTTACAACGGACGACGCATCAAATCCCCGCTGATTTGTGTTTGTTTGCAAGTTTGTGACCACAACTTGTGATGTCACAAAACCGCCATCTGGCTTGTAGTAGAGTCGGTGTTGGTTAGACCGTCACCATCGAGATAGATAAGGCCTGCGCGCTGAGTTACTACGTCACTGCTAGGGGACCGGTCTTCGCGCAGTTTAGCTTCCTTGCTAAACACCCGTTTTTCTAAACCTATTCTATGAAATTGGTATCTCATACTATAAAATCAGTCTAAAACAAAATTACAAGCGGCAATATAATGTTTTACAAAGCTTATACGAATATGAAATATTTTCATTTTCTTCTGTTGGTATTTATTTTCAAAACAAAATTATTTGAGAATGGTGTGGTGCTTTTAAAAGCAAATCATTTCTTTGAAGAAAAATTGGTTTTAAAATTCAAGTAGCTGAAATTTTTACTTTGATTTTTCTGCACTGTCTTTGTGTTTCTCTCGTTTATTCTCATCACCGCATCAAATTTTTTTGTTTCACCCCACTACTTTAACAAAATGTTTGCCAGTGGGAACACATGTTATCTCTCATTCTATAATTATTGCATATTTATTTATGTTTATCATATTAATGTAGCAGGATTATAAAACATCAAACGAATGCAAGAGACTACTTTTAATATTTAGACTAACATTTGAATGCCTTGTATCAGTCAGAAAATTTTTCTGAATGTAATAAATTGCTAAATAGTCTAGTCTTAAAATTATTTCTTACTTACATATTGTATGTTAATCTGTATTACAGTTAATGTTTTCCTCTTAATGCTACATAATTATTCGACAGAATCTGTAGTTAAATCGAGGTAATGTTTATTACATAGCTGTGAAGACTATCAATATTAAAATTCCAAATAAGTCAGGAAAAAAGTTTTTCAAATAAAGTTATACACAATGTTTTTGAAAATATTTTAAAAATATACGAAATACTTAAAAAACTTCTAGAAACTGAAATTTCGTGCAAATATTTGCATCATACCTATTTAACTATAAGCGTTACCTCTGTTCTGAAAATATTTTTTCTATTAATATCCACATGAAAAGAAAATATAAATCCTAACATCATGTTCAAATCTTTTCTGTAAGCAATTTTCTTAACTTAACTTACATAGCTTTTGGTGGTGCCACGTACTCAAATTAAAGATTGTAATTTAAAAGATAATTAAAAAAATTGTTTTTAAAATTGCATTGAATTGAATACAATGAAAACAAGTATGTCTACATATGAATTCAATTACTACTGCTTCTTCAATAACTGTACATTTTTAAAATTTAATTTTGCAGTTTCGCAATTTAATTACCTTAATATGAATCTTACATACATTACTTTAGAAACTTTTCTATCATTCTCAGAAAGATTTATATTGCATAACAAATTTTAAAAAACTGATTGCATGATAATAACATATATAAAAGTGAACAGAATCTATATTAGCTAAACATATGCATTTAAGTTTCATCATGATAAAATGATATATAACGATTTGCAAAAAACATTGATATTTAAATTTAAGAACACAGTACTCTGTCAAGAATCAAATTTACTCTGCATTTGATATTCTACATATTATGTAATGATATAAGTGTTATGCTTTTAACCCCTTAGGACAGTTATTTCATATAAAATTAGTTTCCAATTAAAATAAATAATCATAAATTTTGCTGACAATTTTTATATTACTAGTGTTAGTAATTATTACAAGAGATGATGCTTCAGATGTCAAAAGTAAACATAAATTCAATTCTTAAAACATAATGGATAAAAAATTACAACTTATAAAAGCCAACAGAAAGCTTGCTGAGGGTCTCTTAACCGTGACGTCACAAGCCAGTTTCGTTTCAGAGCGCAGGCCTTATCTATCTCGATGGTGACGGTTAGACGCGTCAGCCGTTCAACTGACTACTTTTTGTCTCTTTCGCCAGAGGGCGTCCGTGGAAGTAAAGTTCTAGTAAGCAAACGCGACAATTGTTATATTCCTTCACCCTCGATATTCAAGATGCCTTTCATCATAAAAAAAAGATTTCTGCCATTTTTTTTTCGATCTAGAAAGTGCATTCGACTCTATTAATCCAAGAGTTTTCCTTTTCAAATTTCTTAAACTTAGTTTTTGGTCCTAAAATCAACGAATATATCAAATTCTTTCTTTCTCCCAGTGACTCTAGTAAATCCTTCCTGCGCAGAAAGATGTAGCGGGTGCAAAACAAGACATCTGTCTACTTTGTCTGTCTTTCTTAAATCTGGCAATGTTGTAATCAAAGTGCATTTGTCATTTTATCTATGTAAGTAGATCGCATTTTTTGTGTGAGAGTTATCCGACAGTTAAAGATGTCTCTTGGCGTGCCGGTGAAAGTACTTCATGAAGCAGAAGGCCATATAGTAACTCTTGAAACGAAGACTGGTGAAGTTTACCGAGGGAAACTTGTAGAAGCTGAAGATAATATGAACTGCCAAATGTCTGGAATAACTGTCACGTATCGAGATGGTCGAGTCGCTCAGTTGGAAAATATATATATTAGAGGCAGCAAAATTAGGTTTTTGATACTTCCTGATATGCTTAAGAATGCACCGATGTTCAAAAAAACTGGACCGAGACTCGGTGCTGCTAGTACTGGTCGGGGAAAGTCTGCCATTCTAAGAGCTCAGGGTAAGTGTTATTTAATTATTTTATCTGAACCCGCTTTGGTTTTTCAATTCATAATATACTGACAAGGTCTTAAGTTTGGTTATTTATCTAAATTGTGTATCGCGTCACAGTGGCGTAGCAAGGGGATGTATGATGTCAGAGGAGGGACAAATGGTCTCTAAACAAGATTTTCATCACATCACTGTGTTTTTTCGGGGGAAAGAAAAAGCCGCCAAAAAGGTATTTTGCCCCAGGCGCCAGTTATTCTCGCTACTCCACTGTCACATCATACATCATTTCAAACATGTTAGAAAGTTGTGATGTGAAAAATTCGCTCGTGAGTTTTCGTAATATATTTTGATAAAATCGTTATTTGTCTATAAATATGTGCAATATAGTCTCTGCCGTGTTGCGCTGTCGGGTAGTGGGATTCTGTAATGTGCGTGTGCCAGCCGAATTCTGTCTTAGCAAAAATAGCTCACTGAAAATTTGTTTGTATATGTATATGTATATTGCAAAACATTAAATGAAAATAACGTGACAAACAGAGAATATAAATGCATGAATAAAAATAGTAAAGTTACTTATAAGTTGCGAGTTTCAAAATATTGCCAAACTATCAATATTTATCTTACATACGGCACGCATTTTCAGCATATCAAAAAAAAAAAAAAAAAAAAAATCGGAGGTGGGGTTATAAGATGCATTATGGAGTTTGTAATTTAAACCTGACACATGATAAACATTTATAAATCACTAAAACTATTCTTTACTAGTTTTGTCCATTTTATGCCACATATACTTGGCAAGATAGGAATAATTTTCCTCTTTTGTTGCACATATATTGTAGCTTTCTGCCATGATCCACACTAGTGACAGGAAAATTATTTTCGACGTTTAAAAATATGCAGTTTTAAAATTAAGAAATGGCATTCAAAAGCAGGGAACTTTTAATTGAGAGAAAAATAGGATAAAATCCTAGTATACGGTGCAGCCTTGGCGCGATTTTGAAAATTATCGCCAACACCAAAGATGACCCAAAGAACGTCTATGTATATACTATACACTATATACTATAGTACTACACTATATACATATCATATACTATGTATGAACTATATATATTCTTTGAATGACCCGTTTACTACTCATCGTATATGTTTCGTTTTTATTGCTCATCATAAAGTCTCCAAAAGTAGCCAAATCCCGTATGCACTGGATACTAGGATTAAACCAAAAATAGCTCAGTCATATCATAGTTATCATCATCTCAATCACAATTATTAAAAAATATGTCCAAAAGAAAAGAGAATCTTTGGAATATGGTAACCGTATTTTTGGCGACATTTTGGTAAGGCGATAAAGTTTACTAGCTAGGACTTTAGCAGTGTACATGGATAAAGTCAAGAGTGTGCGCAATACCATTTTTGTGCAATTCTGGGATGTTTTTTAAAGTGAAAATAGGTCAGCGTATACATGGATGATACTGTGTATGTGCAATTCTTAAAAACGCGGTAAGCAGTTTGCGATTCTGCACTTTCTCCCAATTTCGCACCTAATCTTCATCATGATTAAGCATTTTTGTTCCATAAAAGTTCTACTATAAGCGTAATTCGGCTAGCAGATTGTTGGAAAAAATGTTGAGTTAAAAAAAAAAAAAAAAAAAAACCTTTAATTCGTGAAAACAAAATGGCATCCAAAACAAAACTAGCAGATTGCTGTAGTAGGGTTGGTTGCCAAATTTTCACCCAAAATCACCAAGTTACCATAATCCAAAGATTAACCAAAGAAAGTCATTTTAAAATGAAAAAGTAAAATTGCCAAATTAAAACCATTATCTAACAGTAAAATCATCATGCATAAATGACACTGGAAGAATTAACATGAAAACAAATGGGTATAGGTTTTCTTATGTTAAACTACTGGTTAATAAGGCATGTTATAAATCCTTGTCATTTTGTTAGAAATTGGATTATTTTCGTCAGCTGTATCAATTTTCAAATTGCAGTATTTTAAGTATTGTAATTAATACTGTTGATGAGGCAGTAACTAATACTGTAAAGCATACTTTAATTTTATAACAGTTATTTGAAGTTTATACCACTTTCCTCTCTCTACTAGCTTCAGCTTTCAATTCCTTACCAGAATGAATTTTTAGAATTGTGTTAAATGCAAATAAGAATAAGCGTAGTATTTAAGTTAAGTTCAACTGACTTCACCAGAGAGAGTTAAGATTTCTGAATAGTGCATGTTTTCCTTTTGGCTATGTCTCTCTCTGTTATTACGCTTGGCCGTATTACATGCCTTTTGATAGCTTCGCTGGCTAATTTAATATTATGGGTGTACTAGTTTAGAATTATGTTAGGGCTTTGCCTAAATCTCTTTAGTGGGTCATTAGTTTTTATTTCTTTCATTGAGTTAAAGCCTAAGTGAAGGTTTTGCTGTATGCCCTGACAGGCTGACTGTATATCTTTATTTGAAGCAAGTAAAGGGTAATTAACGCTTCTTGAGTTTATGTTTCTGTTCTTGGACTTAAGGGATTATTCACTTAGTAGTTCACTAGGTTCCTCGACACTACATTTAACAAGATCAAAGTGAGGAACCCTACAGTATGAAGTCTGGTATTTATGCAAATCAGTTTCATGCTTAATATGAACTTTGATTTACTGTCTGTTTGTCATGGTAGAAGATCTCTGAAAATGGGCACCCTCCCAAGTAAAATGGCATTAAATCATAATTAAAACGTAAAAAAATTACAACCTCAATAAATTGCATTTTAAATCAAAATAAAACAAGGAAATAACATAAAAGTAGAAATACATGTTATCTAATCTGCACAGTACAAAAAGGAAATACTGACTTACCTTATTTAGAAATTTCTGTGTCTTCTTATGTGTGGCATACAGAATTGCTTAAAGCATCCAAAAACTCTTTAAAAATTATTTGAATCAGAATTTGTATACTGCCGCCACCACATAAATTCACAAAAGTAGCAATTAAAAATAACCTCCGTAGTGCCGCACTGTCGGTGGCGTTTCTTTCGAAAATCCCTTTTCATATCCCACATACCTTCGATAGTATTAATATGAGCTTCGGTTTCTAGATCCTTCTTTTTCACTGCAGGATTTTTTGAGAGATGAGTGAAGTCATTTAAACCTTCATTTACATACCAATCAGTCGATGCTTTCTTTCTCATTCATTCCAAATCGTACAGAAACTTCAGGTTATCTTACAACTTGCAGACATTTTACAGTGTAAAGCACAAAATAAACGACATACTTCCTAGCCAAAATCCAAAGCTGAAATAAGCCCTGAAAAATATTCACCCAAATCCAAAATTCAGTGTGATCACACATTGTAACCAATCACGTCATGACAGATTTTCCAAAACATTCACCGTAAAATACTCAGGTTACCATAAATGAAACAAAACTTTGTGATAAATGAAATAAGAGCTTGGCTGATAATACAAGGAGTTGCTTAAAATACAGACTATCCAGCTCCTTTGTTCAGCTCCTGTAATTACTGTGTCGAGAATTCTTACTAAATTGTCAATCAGAATTTTTAGATTTTCTAACACCTTCTCAGTCACTTTCTTTGCTGGTGGTAGCGATATTTTCGAGATTTAAAGCCATGTTACAAATTTTGCTCATTGTTACTTGATTGATCAGTGAAGATAGTCATTGCAATGAAAAACTTTTATTATGTCATCTTCATTTTTTGGTGTAATCCTAGTATATGGTACACACGGGATTTGATGCTTTTTGGCTTGGCGACATTTATGATGAGCAGTAAACAAGTCATTTTGTTGTTGGCTAACTCATTCTGGAATGCGGTTCCTAAGTTTAATGGCGACAGTTTTCAAAATCGTGCCAAGGTCGTACCGTATACTAGGATTTTATCCATTTTTTACATTTCCACATTTTTTAACAAATTCCATTAATTGGAAAAGTGTGAAAACCTTCAAATTTGTGGCTATCATCCTAAAGCTTAGCTGCCATTTGCTATACACTATTGCGATGTATCATAAGTTTGACAACTGAAGTCGTGCTATTCTACTAAATTTTATCATGGTTCCAGCACATGCTGACAAAGTTAAACCTGAGTTATATTAGTTATTTATTATACTTAGGCCTATTTCCCAAACATGCTTAAAGCTTACTGAATCCTAAATAAATTCCCACGTATACTTAAGGCTTATCCATTCCTGTCACTATACATTTTGCAGGTCCAAAATTCTGCTACCAAGCACTTCCCTAAATTCTAAAAATTTAGGGTTCCAGGTCCTTTCCTAAGTTCTAAAAATTTTGCCTTCCCCAAGTTTTGTCATATAGTGCGACCGCACCAGCTCTGACGCTTGATCTAGAGCTTATCTGGATAAACAATCAGTTCTTAATTCAAAGAGCAGTAAATGCAAGGCTTTGCCCTATGAGTATCATTTACAATTTTTTTTTTTTTTTTTTTTTTTTAACCCATGGAAAGAAATATTTGTTAAATTTCTCCTCGTCATTGCACTCAACACTTTGTAGTACAGTTAGCTAAAGTCTCTGATCATCGTGAAGTCGATGGAAAGGGTTACCATGCTCTTTGCTATTCACTTACAAGGTGAGACCAAAAAGTAAGGTTACTCATTTCTCCTTTCAAAAATTAGAACAGCCCGACCACCTGACACATGCGCATTACGATCTTCAGTATGCAATGTTGAAGTTCAGGGTCATTTGTTAAGTTTCTTGTTTCGTGTTTGTTTGTGCAATCGCTTAAACATGAAAGGTGTTAGTGTATTGCATAATGGAGCGGAAAACAAATCTGAAGTTCTCTTTTAAAATCGGTAAAACTGCTACTGAAACCTTGGAAATGCTTCGAAGTGTGTATGGTGAAGAAACTTTTATCTCGCAAGACAGTATTTCAGTGGTTCAAACTTTTCCGTGAAAGCATGGAGGATGAGCATCGTAGTGGAAGACCATTGACAAGCAGAACGACGGCTAATGTTGAAAGAGTTGGCAAGTTATTGCTGCAAGGGC